AAAAATTGGAAATATAATTGCATTATTGGGACCGGGAACTGCACGGTCAGCCCCGTAGAAATAAGTTGTACAAGTTAGCCACAAGTAATGGCAATTTCTTTTTCAGCATAGCAAATGCTTATGTACTTTTTAAAAATAGAAGGAATAAAATAAAATCCTTTTATTTTTATCTTGTTTCTTGTCTGAACGATGAATTAATTTTGTCATTTGAAAGTTAAACAAGTACTTCAAATGCTAGTGCCGTAATGAATATGAGATGTCCTCTTCAAGAGTACCGTAAATATAAGAAGGCCCTCTCTTATAAAAAACCCTCACGTTAAAGGGTTGGTTCTGGAAGAATTTATGCTCGGAATCAAAATGCGTTCGGGAAAAGATATACCCGAAGCCGTATACGAAAGGACGCGAAAAGTAAACTTGCGCAAATACTTATCAAAGCCCTCACGAAAAAGGGCTGATACTTAGAGCCAAAAATGCTTTCTGGGAGAATACACCCAAGGCTTCACATAATAAGACGCAAAATAGAAAAGCTTTTGCAAAATTCTTAAGGAAAAGGAAGAAAATGCAAAGATTAAAAACTTGCATGAATATTCAAACGAAAGGAAGACTCAAACAATACTTGAGCAAAAGATATTTTTATTTATAAAAACATGTTAAAACGGAACAGGTACAAGAATTGGAAAAAAAAAAAGAAAATCTAAACTGCAGTATCTCTGGAACCAGGAGAAAGAGAAGTGTCCACGCCCCCGAGAGAAGTCGACGAACCCACTAATGGCTCAACATTTTCACCAGTTTGGCCTTCAACAAAATCATGCTCTGATTCTTCTTCAGTTCCCGAGAACTCGGAATTGAAACTGGAAGGACCAAGTGCATCAGACCTCACTGGGAGTCCACTTTTAGCAGCTAACTCAAGTTTGCGAGCCTTAGCAAGAAAAATAAATGACACCAGTTTTGGTCTCTTCCAAGGTTTTTATCCTCATGATATACATGGCATAAGTTTTATCAACAACGAGGAAAGCCGCTCGACGCTTGAGTTCTTCTTTGAGTTGGGTCACCTCGGCAGAAAGGTTTTCCTGGGCGGACCTAGCAGATTTAAGGCTAACATCAAGGTCGCAGACAGTTGAACTAAAAAGCCTATTATGCTCGATAGTTTTCTGTACTTCTCTTCCAGATGGGCATGTTTCGCCCCCGTAGCAGCAAGCTCTTCAATTTTGGAGTTCAAGGCTACCTCTAAGTTGATATCTCTTTCATCGGAGGCAGCCTCGCGTTCGGTTGCAGCAAGAATGACGTTATGAACTTCAACCCATTTGGCGCTGGCTTCGTCAAATATAACCCTCAGCGGGCTAATTTCTTGGCTAAGGGTTACCACTTCTTGCCCACTTTTCTGCAAACGAGCTTCCAATACAACAGCCTCAGCAGCTTTGGCTTCTAGTTCCGAAAGGCGAGCGACATGTTACTCCTGCTTTGCCAAAAGCTGATCCTGAGCAGAGGTAATTTCTTCCTTTTTACGAATCAACCTCTGAAGGCCCTCGGAAGCAAGAAAGTTGGCCTACAAAGTAAGAAGAGTAAAATTCAGGATATGTTCACACCCAAAAATACAAGGAGTAATAAAGGAAGAAAGGAACGTACCGTTGCTGCGTTGTGCATGGCGTTGTTCAACAAACACTCTCCCAAGAGAACCTGAATCTTTTCCCAGTCTTTCTCTAAAGCCAAAGGCTTCAGATAATTAGCAAGCTCCACCGGCTGGGATAGCAAGTTGCACCCGTTAGAGACAGAAAGAGTAATATTCCTCCTCCTTTGTGGATCTTCCGGTGCGGATAAGAAATGAAATTAAATGGATGGATTCTCAGGTGCTATTCACAAATAATAAAACATATAAATGTTCCTTTGGTTTTTGAAAATTTTCAAGAAATCCATCAATTGCAAGCCTTGATCGTACACTTGGCTTTCCTATTAGAATCAACACCATGCATATATTAAAATAATAATAAAAAGGATTGTATTAAAGTGGCCTCTAAAAGTTAGGAGCACAGAGGAATTAAGTGGTTGTCATTTTCAGCTGAGCAATCTTTTTAATCTTTGAAAGCTAAGTGATATCAGAATGATCGCAATGAGGGACCTACTGAAACTTTTTCAGCACTTAATTAAAGGGATTACTGCTTTAAATATTGTGATTTTCAGATAGTTATTGAAGTCAATTTCTCTTGCACTCTCTTAGCAGTCAGATAGTTTAATTTTATAGATTTCAAAGTTGTAATATCCAAATCCCTCTTTAAACATTAGTAGTATTTTATTTTGTGGTGATAAAGTAACCTAGAAAGTTCAGGTAGTGAGCCCACTTCTCATAGGCAGAGGTGTATCAAGATTTTAAGTACACGGCTACCCATGGTATATCAATGTACCTGTTATTTATGTAAAAATAGCACGGACTAGCCAGTTTTCGGAGTGATAATTAAAAAATAGCCAGCGTTTGCAAGGTCATTGAAAAATAGCCACTATTTTGCTGCAACACGAAAATTTCCAGCATAATATACTGGAGATTGATGCACTTGTATATGAACTTCCAGCATATTATGCTAGAACTCCAGCACACGAAAAGTTCTAGCATAATATAATGGAAATTAGAGCACATGTGTATGAACTTTCAGCATATTATACTGGACTAATGTATTATGGTGGAACTCCTATGTTATATTGGAACTCCCAATATATTATGCTCGGAGTTCACATGTAAAAAATTCGAACTCCAATATATTATGCTGGAATATTTTTCGGATTTTGAATAATGTCTTAGTTCAAATTTATCTTTACATGAAAAATAATTAAATTTCGATTACTTTTGAAACTGTGGCTATTTTTCAATTATACTTGTAAATCTCGATATTTTTAAATTTCACCCGCTATTTCTCTGTATTAAGGACTAGTAAAAGTTGGCACGTACTGCACTCGGGCCCAAGCGTTGGGTTGCATATTGTGAACTTTTATCATGGGTGCCTATGCATTAATATTGTGAAATTCTTTGTGTTTTGCTTTATGTGTCTTTATTTTAAATTGCTAATCTAATTTAGACATTATAAATTGTTATTCATTTGATATTAAAATTTTGTAAGTCTTGAAATTATAAAAGGTGCATCCTTATGCATTCTCATTAATAAGGTATTTTGACAACTTATTTTTTTTTGGAATAGTTTTATCTCTCTAATTTGTTACAAGCTACGAAGATTGTATTATTTTTGGTAATAGAAATTTTTTCTTTTAGGGTATCTTTTGCCATAATTTTGTCCAATTGTGATACAACTATAGTGTACCCTATATGTCTTGATTTTTAATGTTGCTTATGCCAACTCTCCTTTCTTCTTATTATTTTTTAATAAGACAAAATTTATATCTTAGCAGCCCAACATACTAACAACTTAACAATCACCATGGTATACAATAGTATCATTTTAAATATAAATGTTATATGTTAATACTTTAACCAAGGTTTTAAAAGACGATATCATGTAAAAACTTTTATGGTGTATAAATTATAAAGACTGTAAGAGTTTATCAATGTGGTTGTCCTCATATCCTAATGAATTATTGAACACTTATTTTTCTATTTTCGAATTACTTTCTCTAGACATATAAAGTTTGCGGAAAAAGTGCATTAATACTTTTAATAGAAAATCTCATTACATGCAGTCCATTCAAATACACGCACAAAACATATATATATATTCTTTCTTCTTCTTTTTTTCTAAAATTTAAAAGTTGTTAAAAATATTAGTAATCCTTTCAAAAGACCTGTTTTGATGTTCAAAAATTAAGAAATATTAGATAGTTGAAGAGAATTTCTTTTTTTAAATATCACAGAAACAAAATGAGCAGTAAAAGTGATGGTTTCAACTATGGCTTCTTATCGGGCTGATTAGGCGATTATTTACTCTTAACGGATTGATTTATCGGTTATCGATTTTTAAATGTATTAATCCGCTAGCCACCCGATAAGATATCGGGCGGATTGGTATCAGTTTAGCTATTATCGGGCGATTATCGGTTTAGATTGTACCTTTTTAATTAGTAAATCATGTAATAAACCAAAATAAAAATCTAAGACACACAGAGAGATAGTATTTCAGATCTGTATGAGTTACAGCAGCAACATCACGTTTGAGACCTTTCTTCAATATAAAACTCGTTCCAGTGAACAAGCTTGATACCATTGAAACAGGCTCGATACTTCTCATCAATAATCTATCCAAATTTTTCTATTGAAATACACGAGAAGAATAACCAAATAAAAACAAAAACAAAGGGGGTAAACTTAGAAGAAACAATATCCAAGAATAAATAAAGCAGCAGCTGAAATGTCAATTTCAGAATAAATCTCAGTGATAGGAGATCCGTGAAATGGCTGAATACTTTGAGATGCTCTCTGATTTTAAAGGTGTAAATAACAGTGAGGACCGAATATTCTGAAAACATAAACAAGAAAAGAAACTTACCATCTACTACTCTAGGCTCTGCTATGGCGAGAGGGAGAGCCGAGACGGCGAGTCGGGCAGTCGGTGAGACTCGAGAGTCGAGAGGTAGAGGCGAGAGGCTGGCCGTTGTGTTGTGAATTATTATTGCTAAGAATTTTAGATGTTAGAACTTAGGGTTTATAAAGTCTAAATGTCTAATAGAGTAATACAAAATTACTTATTACTGGCCCAGTACTGGAAGTGGAAGTGTGGAAGGGTTTTTTATTATTTAATATACATATGGATTAAAATTCATTATATATATATNAAAATTAAATAATCCGCCTCAAACCGATAAGCCGTTAATAAAAAGATTTCAATCCATTCCCCATCCGTTAAACCGTTAAACCGTTAACCCGATACCAATAAGTCATTAAACCACTTTTGCGGTTCAATATTCGATTTCGGTTCGGTTTTGAACACCCCTAGTTTCAACATGTAAACCAAATAGATTTATTGATCTACTTGTAAATAAATATGCAAACAAACTAACAAAGAGCGTCTAAGGATGGTAATTTTTATTTCTCAATGAGTTGTTTGAACTATATGTCTCTACTTTAATTTTTTCCATCCTCTAAATTTCAAACAAAATGAGATATTAGAAAGGGAGAGACTTTCTAAAGAAGTGTTTTTCTGTTACCCCTTTTTTATTCTAATTTTTTGTAACGACCCGACCGGTTGTTTCGAGAGTTATAGCACCAATCTCTTGTTTACTGCCTTCCCCGTATCTTTTCTGGATTTTGGACTTAGGGGCATATTCGGATTGTGTTTTTGGAGGTCTGTAGCTGATTTAGGCTTGAATTGGTGAAAGTCAAATTTTTTGGAGATTTTGACCGGTAGTGAACTTTTTGATATCGAGGCCAGATTTTGATTCCAGAAGTAGAGTAGGCCCATAAGGCTGAATATGACTTGTGCACAAAATTTGAGGTCAATTGGACGTGGTTAGATAGGTTTCGGCATCGGGTTTAGAAGTTTGAAGTTTCAAAGTTCATTAAGTTTGAATCGGAGGGTGACTCGTATTTTATCATTGTTTGATGTGATTTGGGGGCTCAACTAAGTTCGTATGATATTTTAGGACTTGTTGGTATGTTTGGTTGGGGTCCCGGGGGCCTCGGGTGTGTTTCATATGCTTAACGGATTGAAATTGGACTTAGGCAAAAGGCTGAAGTTTTCTGGTTTCTAGTGTTTTCACAACTGCGGTGGGGAGACCGCAGGTGCGGACTTGCACGTGCGAAAGGGAGCTCACAGATGTGGCCCTGGTCTGGGTAACTAGTGGTCGAAAGTGCGACAAAAGGGGTGCAGAAGTGGAGCCGCTCCTGCGAGGGAGTGATCGCAGAAACGGGAGCCGAGTGGGTGAGGACTTCGCAGAAGCGGACCATTTTCCGCAGGAGCGCACGCGCAGGTGCGACCACCTTATCGCAGAAGCGGTCCCAGGCCTCTTAAGTCATTTCCGCACCTGTGATGGAAACTCCGTAGGTGCGGCATCGCAGGTGCGACTGGTAATCCACAGATGCGGAATCGCTGGGCAGAAAAGGTCAATTTCGAGGGTTTAATCTCATTTTCATTTTAGGTCTTTGAGATCTCGGATTGAGGCGTTAATTCAAGGACTTTTCAGAGAGAACTTTTGCGTAATGATTCTTAACTCGTTTATGATTATATTCCACTAATCTATAGTTGATTTCATCATTTAATTAAGAAATTTGGTTGAGAAATTTGGGGAAAATGGTAGAAGTTCTTCAACTAAGTTTTTGAGTTTTGATTGGGATTTTGATATCGGATTTGGATAATTTTGGTACGAATGAACTCGTGAGTGAATGAGTATTCATATTTTGTGACTTTTACCCGATTCTGAGATATGGGCCCTGGTCGACTTTTTGGGGTGATTTTCTAATTTCTTGCTTTAGCTTTAATTTCATTAATTAGATTAATTTTTTATAGTTGTATTTATGGTATGTAATTGATTTTGGACAGATTTGGGCCATTCGGAGTCGAATATTCGTGAAAAAAGGCATTGTTACCGATTGATTGAGCTTGGTTCGAGGTAAGTGACTTGCCTAACCTTGAGTGGGGGAAATCCCCTTAGGATTTGGTAATATTGTGATATGTGAGCGTTGTGTACGTGAGTTGACGAGTACGTATACAGGATATTTGTTGTAAAACCTAGTTTATTTTACTGAGTAGTAACCTGTTTTTCCTTTAAATAGTGTTATACCGTTTAAATGAGTATTAGTCTGTTTTTCATTCTTAATTGAGCTATTCCAATATGTGTAGTTATCCTGTTTAGTCTAATATCGCGTGTC